ATCGATTAATAACCTCATAGCTCACAGTAGGTCTGTCTTTAACAGATTAAGTTATCTTTAAAATCAAATTTCCCTATGGATAAAATGAATGGGATTTTTACTTCTGAAATTTGCCCACTACAGTGACCAGAGACGTGTGGGCTCTTCTGACTGCAAGCGACCACCTAGAAACCACCCAGAGCACCCCAGCAACAAAGACAAACACAACTCACATTTTCATAGAAAATATAAAAAAGTAAGTATAAAGCTGCCAGGAGTGCGACTAGGAGTGTGGGATTATATTTGGATTCAGCATCATGTAGTTGGTCTGAAAGCCGTGTTTTATAAAGCATTCAAGCATGTCCTAATAATTACAGTGTGATTAGAGTAAATGTGGTAACAGCAGGCAGCAAGTGTGTGCAGGAATGTTGGCAAGATGGGGGTCTTCTATAACACCTCTAAAAACCCTGCTGCTGCTCTTGAGCCAGATTTCTTATCCCTGACCTCATTTACAGTGTGATCTTAGCTGATCTTAGAACAGTACATCTCTTCCCATGGGTTGGTTTTTGTCATTTCCTCTCCATCAGAGTAATCAAGCGTTGACTGTAAGTGACTCATTTCTCTGGCATCTTCAGAGTTCAGTGTCCTCCCAAACAAGTGGCACAATCACACACAAAGCCCATACACCAACTCCCATCTCAGAAAGACTCCAAAAAAGAGAAGGAGGGAAAATTAGAGACGAATCTAAAGATCTTCTGTCTCCCAACCACAAAGAAAACCTTTGAGTCTCTGATAAGATCTTCCTGTCTTACGGTCTATTCTGATATTTTCACATTTTAATGAGAAGAAAAACAAGACAAAGTGGAACGTTCAGTTACTCACCCAAGTGTAATTTTTACGGAAACTCCCTAGAACCGTAAAAAAATAATATTCCGTCTCTGACCGCATCAGAAAGATATGTGGCATTATAAATACTGTTTTTATACATAAACACAAAGGGAAAGTTAAGGGCCCCACATCACAAACTTCTAGTGCAGGCTCCATGTGTTTTGTTGTTTATAATGTTGCACTTTATAAAGTTTTCATGAAGACCGTACTCCTCCTCTATATCAGGCTGAAGTAATAATACCAAATATACAGTATATTAATATAAAAGTATATTAAAACACAATTTCCTGTTTCGACTTCATTGATAGAGACAAAGTAATTAATTAGCAAGGTTGGTGTGAGACTATATAATAATAAATAAATAAATAAATAAATTCTTGGACTAATTTACGAATTGGCAAGAAGGCCTTTGAGAGACTAATCACGAAGGCCTATTCACACCAAGGACGATAACTATAAAGTTTTAATAACCATTCAAATTTTATGAGAACAGCGAAGTCCACGCCACAGCTATAACAATAATAACAAAGAGGAACAATATCAAGAATCCACCTGACTTTAAATTGCTTGAACATTTAAAGTAGCAGATTTTGCTTATTATAAGCAAGTTGAGCTTATAATAAATGGAACATTATGAAGCACTTTTGCTTCCTTGAAATGCTGCTATTAATTTTTTATTGTCAGGACTTGATTAATCTGCAATATAATTAGCAGATTACATGATTACCAATATAATGACAGTCCTAAATCAGTTATCATTGTTACTGGAATCAACCAGGATTATACTTATTAGGTTTAATAGAAAAGTGATGAACCTGAGGTCTCACTATAATCAAACTAATCACACGCTTTCCATAAAACAGGACAGAAGCAAGCAATCCAACCTGGATCACTCACTCATTTCCTGGGCATGGCCGAGATACACACACGCACACCTCAGCCACATTCTGACAAAGCAATTACACCATGTTGGCTGGAGCACAAATACATAATGCTCTTTTCAAGAGGGCATGATGTGGTGCTCTCTACCATATCCAAGTGAAGTTTTGAAAAATATTTTATTTGAAGATGACAGTATGATTGATTAATTTTATACTTACCAACAAGCTCATTGGGGTCTTTAACGTCCACTTCTGAGACATCCTACAAAAGAAGAAATGGCCAAACATGCATAATTGAAAATCAATAACACATTTTACTTCCTATGTCCTTTTAAGTCAGCATGTACGTCCACATGAGATGAATTATGACAGACCAAGTAATATATTGTAAGAACCGATTAATATTTAGCCATTTTGACATTTCAGCTAATAACAATGCATACTTGTTCATCTAACAAAAGTGTTAGTGCCCCCTTGTGTCAACTCCAAGTCTAACAACAATTTTAAATTATCACATTTTTGTCCAATTAAATATTGTGTTAAAAAAGTATTCTTTTATGCAGTTATGTGCAGAACTTATTCAGAAATATAGGTTTAATCCTGTGCTGTAACGTTTAAAAGAAAAAAATCTCTCTTGGGAGGCTTAAAAACCGAAGGTGATGAAATCAGAACCAAAATGCAAAACCCCAGAATAATAAAACTAGGCTATAAAAATAAAATAAAAATTCACTGGGCCTCTATTCGCCGTCCTCTTTTACACAATCTCACACATACAGTCACTCAGCTACAGGATGTGCAGATGGAAGAATCGTCTCGTAAAAGTGCCCAAGCAGAAAATGTGTCTAGGATAGCACAGAGAAAGAGAGATATGACTCACTAAAAGATGAATCTCTTGTAGCCAAAAGCTCAAACCTTAACAACAGTCCATTCACTTGAAAACCCAGTATGGCAAAACAATGTGAGACAAAAAAAGGACACATCTATCTCCACTGAGGAGGGGGGCCTGCCTTAAAAGAGGTTTTTTTCATTTAGATTAGCCCAAAAACAGGACCATTGGTTAATGGACCTACTTCTTGCCATTTCATTGTCATGCCCCTGCATGCACTTTTACAACAGCAAAGACAAAACAAATGACTGAATCTTAAAGTTATAAGACACTTAAGTAAGTGAAGATTTAGTTACTTTCATGTTCTATGCTCTTATTTTTATTTTTATGCAATAGGTGCATAAAGATTGTTCAAAATTCCCCTTTTTAGTTTCCAATGAAAATCAAAACACCATATGGGTTTTAAACAACAAGAGAGTGAGTAAATGTGAATTGTAGTTTCTGGGTGAACAACAGTCGAAAGGACAAAAATGAACTGAACCCACATAAAAATAAAAAGCACCATAACTCTTACATTTGTGAAAGTCATTATTAAGCAATCAATTTAATCAAATTAGTTAATTACAAAACATATTTCGATGCTCTTATTTAGCAAGCAAGACGAACAGTGTTCTGTCTTTGGGGTGTGGCTCTAAATTTATGCAACATCGCAAGCTTCTATTATGAAAAAGTAATGTTAGTGCATGAAATAACTTGCCACTGCAGTGCTTTGCACATCTGAAATCCTTTCAGATCCTTTACACAATCTCACACATACAGTCACTCAGCAACAGGATGTGCAGATGGAAGAATGGTCTCGTAAAAGTGCCCAAGTAGAAAATCTGTCTTGGACAGCACAGAGAAAGAGAGATATGACTCACTAAGAGATGAATCTCTTGTAGCCAAAAGCACAAATCCTAACAACAGTCCATTCACTTGAAAACCCAGTATGGCAAAACAATGTGAGACAAAAAAAGGACACATCTATCTCCACTGAGGAGGGGGGCCTGCCTTAAAAGAGGTTTTTTTCATTTAGATTAGCCCAAAAACAGGACCATTGGTTAATGGACCTACTTCTTGCCATTTCATTGTCATGCCCCTGCATGCACTTTTACAACAGCAAAGACAAAACAAATGACTGAATCTTAAAGTTATAAGACACTTAAGTAAGTGAAGATTTAGTTACTTTCATGTTCTATGCTCTTATTTTTATTTTTATGCAATAGGTGCATAAAGATTGTTCAAAATTCCCCTTTTTAGTTTCCAATGAAAATCAAAACACCATATGGGTTTTAAACAACAAGAGAGTGAGTAAATGTGAATTGTAGTTTCTGGGTGAACAACAGTCGAAAGCACAAAAATGAACTGAACCCACATAAAAATAAAAAGCACCATAACTCTTACATTTGTGAAAGTCATTATTAAGCAATCAATTTAATCAAATTAGTTAATTACAAAACATATTTCGATGCTCTTATTTAGCAAGCAAGACGAACAGTGTTCTGTCTTTGGGGTGTGGCTCTAAATTTATGCAACATCGCACTCTTCTATTATGAAAAAGTAATGTCAGTGCATGAAATAACTTGCCACTGAAATGCTTTGCACATCTGAAATCCTTTTAGATGAAAACGGAATTTAGATTCTTGCTCTTAGAACTTCAAATCTGAAATCCTATTCATAAAATAACAACATAAATGTGTTTCTGGACACTATTGTGATAGTGTCATGTAAATACCATATACACTACCGTTCATTTGGGGTCAGTAAGACTTTTATTTTTTATTTTTTGAAATAAATTAATTGTTTTATTCAGCAAAGATGTATTACATTGATTAAAAGGCACAGACCTTTGCGTTGTTACAAAATATTCTATTTCAAATAAATGTTGTTCTTTTGATCTTTCTATTTGTCAAAGAATCCGGGAATAAAATGTTTAACAGTTTCCACAAAATACTAAGCAGTACAGATCAGAATAAGAAATGTTTCTTGAGCACCAAATCAATCACTGGAATAATGGCTGCTAAAAATTCAGCTTTGCCATCACAGGAATAAATTACATATTAAAATATATTAAAAATACAAAACATAATTTTCAACTGTAATAATTTTTCGCATTATTACTGTTTTGACTGTAGTTTTGATCAAATAACTTTTAAAAACATCTAACACATTTTACAGTCCCCAAACTTTTAAACACTTTGTAAATTTTAAAAGAATGTGTAAGAAAAGTAACTGTGTGCATAAACCTAATGTTCAATAAATATGCATGAAAACATTAAGGACATGCTGTATTACTCTGATATGAACCTTCTCTGCAAGTTCAAACACGCATGTTGTTCCTTAGCTTGAGTGATGCTGTTCTCTTGGTTTGAGACCAGTCATAACAACGCAATAAACCGAGGACGGGTGTGTCTTGGGTTTGATACCCTGAACCCCAGAGCAGTCAGGGAGGGAATTTAGGTGGGGTCAAATACCTTCACATCATCTTGGGTCCGCCCTGAGTCCGACTCCTCCTCTTCCTATGAAAATAAAAATGAACAGGGTCACCACAGCCAAAACCATAATCAAGAGCTCCCCCCTCAGGTGTAAAACTAATGTTTCAACCATAGTGCTCTGAGAATGAATGGGGATTCAGTTGACTGTGGCCTTTTTTCTGATTAATTTAATTATAGCCGATGTCATATAATGGTCCCACATACATATGTTACATACTTATAAATATTTTGTCTATTTCACAGCATTTTGTCATTCGCTGTCATTTTGTCATTCGCTTTTTAACTTTACCCCTACACTGACAACAAAGCCATCAGCGTTACAAACTCCCAGAATTCACATGCTTTTCCTAACACTAATTAGAGTTTATACCTTGATCATATGTGTCTGGATCTGAATCCTGCTCTGAATCATCTCCATAAGCCGCTAGTGAAGAGAGAAGAGCATTCCTCTTACTGCTCGCCATGTCCAGCACTGGCGCACAATAGTGACGTTAGAGTCTATGTTCAGTGAGCGCATGCTCGGCGTTTTGAAACGCGCGTCGCGGAGAATACGCAGATCTGTTTGGTTTCCATAGGTTACCACGACGCTTTAGGAAACTTTGATCAGACACGCAAACTTTTGTTAGAGTTACGGCCTGAGTCCGACTCCTCCTCTTCCTATGAAAATAAAAATGAACAGGGTCACCACAGCCAAAACCATAATCAAGAGCTCCCCCCTCAGGTGTAAAACTAATGTTTCAACCATAGTGCTCTGAGAATGAATGGGGATTCAGTTGACTGTGGCCTTTTTTCTGATTAATTTAATTATAGCCGATGTCATATAATGGTCCCAACACTAGACAGTGGGAAAGAGCATCAATCAAATAATCAGAGTTGAAATTAAAAAAAGAGGGACAACTGTAAATTTACAACAAAGCAACCTGCTATATTTTGATATGAAAAAGGAATATTTGTACTGAAAGTACTTATAATGACAAATAATAAGAACTACTAGATCACAGTGTTTAATATAATATGTCAGAGTGTTGTCACATTACGGAATAGTTTCTAATGTTTATATGGCACTAATTCTATTAGCTAGAATAAAAAATAATGTTCATTTAAAACAGATGGAAATTTGCATATTGTGTAATTATCTGAAACTGAAATTTTAATTATTTTTATTTAAATAGTTATTGCTTTTTCTACTAACGATACTGATAATTAAAAAAAACAATAATGGACAATATCAAAAAAATGTCAATATTTCAAATCAAGTGATATGATCACATTTTTTTTCTTGTAATTTGCCAGTTTTTGGTTGCAGAATTGTAGTGTTACATCCTTTTATTACAACTGGCTCTGAGCTCCTCTAATTAGTGGAAGGTCCATTAAAAATGTGAATTTGTGAATGTAACGGGCAGAAAACCCCTAAACTGAAAGTTGTGGTTAAGACTGACCGAATTTCTAGTGCTGTCATCATCACTGTCCTCATTCTCCGAGGGCTTCTCATCTGCCTCCTCCACACGACTCACTTCATCCTCTCCGTAACCAGCCGACACCAATCCACCATGAGAGTCTGACAGACAAGCACACAAAAAAAGCTTTTTCAATTCCACTGAGGCCATATTTACAAGTGTATGACCTGTTAATGACTTAATCGACCATTCCTGATGATATCAAGGAGCGATAGGACATACCACCAGATTTGTTACCATGCTAAAGTTACAAAAATATCTAAAAATCAAACTCTGAAACGTACCAACACTATATAAAATAGATCAAAATGAGACAGGCTGAGTAACAGAAATCATAAATACGTAACACAAAAGTGAAAGTGTGAAGTACTGTGCCAAATCCTGTTTTTAACAAAGTAACAAATGAATTTGAATCAAAATTCATTCAACCACAGATTTCACACAGTTACAACAGTTAATACTATAGTTACTAGTTATTGTTACTACTGTAAATCCATAATACATTAATATGAGATCTTTTGTGAGGCTAACTGTCGTATCAATGAAGGCTACAAGCATAAAGTTACATAAAGCAGAAGAAGAAGAGACATTTAAAAAACTGTACCATTAAGTAATTAAAATAGGGAACAAACCAATTTATGTGCACTGCCCTCCACAGAACTCAATGGTGAACTGTCCATCATAATAATAATAACCTTATTACTACCAAGCCATCAAAAAAAATACCTGGTTGAGCCATATTAATTTATTTTTATTTTACATTTTATGTTTCTTGGAATGTTTTATTATATGATTTGTTTGGAGCTTAGTATGATTCTATTGTGTTGAGCCTTCCATACCAGAATCTTTTTTGTATACTAATTAATGCCAGTTTGTTGTATTCAGATTTTGTATTTAATAAAAAAAATTTTTAAAAAAATGCTCGGCGTTTTGAAACACGCGTCGCGGAGAATGCGCAGATCTGTTTGGTTTCCATAGGTTACCACGACGCTTTAGGAAACTTTGATCAGACACACAAACTTTTGTTAGAGTTAACACCTTAAAATAAAAGAACAATAAATAAACAATAACTTAATGATAGTATTTATTACAAGCGACGTCACACTGACAGTGAAATTAGTCAATTTAAAGAAATTAGAGTGAATATGCCCCCCAAACGGAATAAAAGTGTTACTCCATCTGGGGCAACTCCAACCGGGGCAGCTGCTGCTAATAAAAACTGGGAAACAGCTCTTACTGCTGCTGTATTTTAAGAGGTAATCCTAAAAACGATCCTCAAGAAACTGTTCTTCTAAATTATCTATTCAAATCAGGCATTATTTACTCACCTTCATGTTGTTCTATTTTGACAATGTTTGACAGAATGTCAGTCTCAGTCACCATTCACTTTCATTGTATGGAAAAATATGCAATGAAAGTGAATGGTGACTAGGTCTGTCAGTCCCTCTTTTTGTGTCATGGATGAAATAAAGTCATACAGGTTTGGAACCATTTGACGAATAAATTATCTGATTATCATTTTTTGAACTACGCCTTTAAATAAATTTATCAAAAACAATGACATTGCAAGGAGGGCTGCTGAGCAGAAGGTGAGAGCCTTTTTACCATTAGCTAAAACATGTTTATGTTTAGTTATTCTATTCAAATTTACACTTCATATGTGATCAATTCTAATCAAATATACTATGCATATATTTTTAACATAACTATGTCTCAGATAAACAATAACATAGAGTATATATATTTAAGGCTGTAGAGGATAATGCCCATGTTAAAGCGGGACTGAATTCTGCTGGCAAGGACCAAGGGGGTAAAGGAGCAGCAAAGGGGAAGAAAGCTGCTGAGCTTCCAGTTCCAACCAAAGACACCAAACTGAAACATAGAGGGGAAGAGGAAAATACAATCAAATACATAGGTATATATTTCTGCATTGCTTCTTGTCAAATATCTGTATATATCAGAGTAAAATGGGTTTGCAAACTGTGTCTTAATTTTGAATTTGAACATATGTGTTCAGATGATGAGCCTGATGACGGGCCGCAGCACTACATCCTGATTGTGGGGTTCTGCCAGCCTCATTTAATCTCTGCGTTGGACTCTCTGGGTATCCACGTGTCCAATATCATTAAACTGGGCTTAGAGAAAGAGGTCCAATCAGAGGCTCTAGAGGAAACAGTGGCAGAGGAGAATCACCAATTACTCGAAGATCAAGGCAAATTGCTAAGAATTTCATTAAGCTTATACCTTTCAAATTATATTACATAGTGCATGCAGAATATGCTGGCTAACTCACATTGGAAGGCTGGTGTTACATTTGTATGCATACAAAATCAAGATTTAAAATCACCCAGTTTTAACTCATCCTGTGCTCAGAAGTTGAAACTCAGAGGCAGCGGGAGCTAGATGTGTTCTGGAAGCAGCTGGATCAAGTCTTGAACAGTGGGAATATGGGATCAAGACTCAGTGATGTTGCCAGGTTGAACTATAGCGTGAAGATCCATTTGCTGCCCCAGGACAAATGCAACACTGAAGCAATGGTGAATGGAGAATAAGAAGTACACTTTCTTCTACCAAATAAGACTTGTGATTCAGATTTTTTCTATTTCTGTTTAATATATTTTGTTCGTTTATTTATTGTCATAATGTATCTTAAACCCTTGTACGGATCATTGCATGTGATATCATCAAGGTTCCACATATTACATTACTCTGTTTGTCTTCTACTGCTGTCTGCAGCTAGCATTTGGAGGGGGTGGCATGTCTGGTGTATGAAAGCCTGGACTGTAGGAGAGACAGTACAGCCATTATCTCAACTGCATGAGGTTGATCCAGGTGCCCGAGGCCTGCAGATCCATCCAGCAGTCTCGACCACAGAGCTCCACTGAGGTACACGTCAGACTTTACAGACAGTAGTGCTGTTAATATGCCAGATAAGGTATAGGGTTTCTGTGGGTCATAAAGTCTTAATTCGCCTTTCCACAATTCAAGGCCTTAAAAGGTCTTAAATTGATAAAGTCAGGGCTTTAAATGTTATATGCATTACAAAAAAAATTTATATCTTCCTTAGTATTTTGTTACAAATGTAAAACAAAGTCTTGAAAAACTGAACAAAATTAGGTTTAAGCTTAAAATAAGAACAAATATCTGTCAGTGGGATATGAAAACTTATTTTCAGTTCTAATTAAGTTTATTTTTTGAGCCCACTGGTAGATATTTGTTCTTGTTTTAATCATAAATCAACTCACTTCATTTTGATTAAATTTCACAGTATATAAGACATCTGATGTCTTTTTAAAGTAAGTGTATCTCGATATAAAAATCTTTAGAGATTTACACTGGAAAACAAGACAAAAATACTGAGGAAGAGCATCACTTTTTTGCAGTGTGATCAGAAGGAACATTAAAAGTTATTTCCATATTTTAGTATTTGGAAGCAGAGCTTTTTTTGTTTTGTTTTGTAAAATGAATTAAAAAGTAATGGAGATTCGTTGGAAGTTAATTTTTTTTTTTACTTGGTCTTAAAAAAAGTCTTACATTTACAATCATAAAACCTACAGAAACCCTGAATGTAGTGAGTGCAGAAAAAAACAGTTAATTTCAGAAGTGTCTTGAGGCAGGATGTACATGTTGGTTTTTTGGTGATGATATTTATTGTGGTTTATGTTTTAGGTTCAAACCCCAAGGAAGAAAGGAGTGTCAGAAGAAGACCCTGGTACAAGATATGATACACTGTTTCTGAGCTTTGGTTTTACTGTACATCACCTTTACATTTATATATACAGATATATAAAAATATACAGAGAAATGTATTATTAAAGTTACACTGTCTCTCGCTGACTTTCATGAAAAAAAGCAATCAACAACGACATTAAAGTTTTAAATGAATTCATGTTTTGCCATTAAAAATAACAGCATAATTAAAAAAATAAAATAAACAGAGAAATTTAAGAT